CTTTTTATCACAGCTAAGCTTAGACGCCATCGTCAATGAGAGCTAACTAGCTAATTAAAGAGTAAACGAGAGAGAGAACAAGATACAGAGTTCAAACAATGTAAGAACACAAATTGAACAGGTAGTGGGCGATCACTTTGTCAGGCGAAATAAAGGCGTATTAATATGTGTCTACTTTTAGTTCATTCACCTACGTTTGTAAGAGTTTGTAAAACTTTTACCTCACAATATTTTTTTATTATAATAACCTCACAATACATACAAATACAGTGGGCTCCCGGTTTACGATCAGCTCCCAATGCGACCAATTATGTAAGTGTATTTATGTAAGTGCGCTTGTATGTGTATGTTTGGGGGTCTGAAATGGACTAATCTAATTCACAATATTCCTTATGGGAATAAATTTGGTCAGTACTGGCACCTGAACATACTTCTGGAATGAAATAATATTGTAAACCGGGGGTCCACTGTACTCTTACATTGTGTACAAGTTAGTACAGAATAAACAAACGGCAACGCACCATTTTTAGAGTGAACGAAGATGGTGATATTATCATCATAATAAAGTGCTAAACCCACAAGGGTCATATTATATAATAATAATCAAGGGGGAAGCGCTAAACCCGGAGGATTATACAGCGCCTGGGGGGGGGAATGTGGAAGGCATTCAGGCTTAATTCGGGGAACTGGAGCACAGATCCAATTCCCTAAATCAAGAGCCCCTCACCAACATCAAGGAACCTTCCTTGAGGGGACAAGGGTCATAAATTGCTATATATAGAGTGAAGGCATACGAAAGGAATATTTTTCTACAGTTATCCCCCAGTGTTTGACTAGAGAAAACGTAATTCTTCAGACACTACCTACACAGCCGCTTTGTAAACAAATCTCATATTTGTCAATTTTAATTCTGTGAGTGTATGTATCATGTTTATATGCTATGTACCGTGTTTCTTACATAATTTTGAGGAAAATATCATAGATGGATTAATGAAAATGTCTATATTAATGTAAAATAAGACATTTAATGAGCCCAAGAAAGATGATTATTAAGTACTATTGGCATCATGAGTAGACTCTTAGCAGTTTTAATGTGTACCTGCACACCAGCACAGTGTTTAAGTATATTTAGGTACAGGTTCACATAAGTATAAATATCCGAGTACATATAAAATATGCAATAACTGTAAAACACTTGAAATTTTGGAAAGTTTCCAGACATAATAGATGTGGTCACGGAGAATGTAAATAAACTGGGTGGGGAGCGCCGTATTTGAAAGACCGTTTGCCGTATAGCAAATTTTGGTCATAATTTGACATCGCCATATTAGCGGAACGCCGTGAGGCGAAATGCCGTGAAGTGGGGCCCTGCTGTATATACATATATCCAAGGTGCTAGGGAATAGAGAAAAGTCAGTTTAAGAGTAGCAGCAGTCGGACCAGGCAAAGCTGACTGGAAGACAGGTAGCCCAACAGTCATGTCACAATCTGAGCGGGGTGAAGCGTGACCTAGTATTATGCAAGTCAAAGTATTAGAGATATTGTAACTTATGTTTTTTCTTCAATAGTACATACAGCATTAGGAAACTTTTGACCAGCAAAAATGCAAGGCACTTTCATCTGCTCAGATCAGGTTCGATGACAAGTTGGTTTACTCATGCCAGTTCATCAGATGGTCTTTCTTGTTCCTGTGGGTAACACAAGAATTACCATGGTCATTCCTGTTGCAGGTGTATTTGTGCTTGCTCATTATGGACAGGTTCCTTCTAGGCTCTCACATACTTCTTAATGCAGTGTTTGGATGGGATTGTGTAAACTCCAACAGTAGGTACAGGAGGAGAGGTAGAGGGTTGTTTCCTGGGAAGGTCCAATGTTCTGCATAGGAGGACATCAAAGAAGTGAAGTCTGCCTTCATTCTCAAGCTTCAGAGTGAATTTGATGGCGAGCTCAGAGTTGATCTTGCCCAAGAGGTCATGGATATCTAATTCTCTTGGGTAAACCAAGAAGTTACCCATATACCATAACTAAGTCACAGTGCCAAGAACACTGGAAAGGAATCTTCAGTTTCAGAGTTCTCTATAAGTTGGCTAGCACATCACTCAGGGGCACTGTACATAGCTTAGCAAAAGCAGTCTGAAGAAACTGTCCTTATATCTAAGGAAGTTGAAATTGATGTGAAGGTCAATCAACTCACTAAATCTCAGTAAAGAAGTGGGAGGGTAGTCTTTAGTCTCACTGGTGATTTTCCACCCAAGTATGTGTGTGTGTAGCAATGTTGGTGGGAACGTTGGTGAACAAAGAGGAAACATCAAAGGAGACTGAGTTTGTTTCTTACGTCCATGATGGAAATACTGGAAGGAAGATCCTCAAAATACTTCAAACGTGCCAGGCTTATGGTCCCCAGGAGTACTGAAAGACTTTTAGCTCCATAGAGAATCAAATTCTCTATGGAGCTCAATAGGTAGAGCATGCTTTCTTTCCCTGATGTCATTATTTTGCAGAACACTGGACAGTAATACTTTTTCCTTCAAAGCATGCAGAAAGCCCATTAACAAGGATGACATGACATTTTTATTTTCACTATGACATACTAGAGAGGAATGGTAACTGACTTCTGAGAGTCCTTAACATTTCCTGCCCTGAATGTGTTGAAGACTGCTGTTACATCACACAAGCCTTCACACACCTCCACTTTATTCCCTTTTTAATTCAGGACTGCAGATGCAGGTTCAGTCCATCCTACACTTCACTCCTACTGTACGAACTGCTAAGTAGTACTTTGTGCTTCCATGTAGAGATATGGCCAACAGAATAACCCAAGCTTTTGCCAAAAGCAACATCAATGTGGCTACTATAATAACGATCAAGGGCCTTCCAAGAAACAACCCTCTAATTCTCCTAATTCTCTTCCTGTACCTACTACTGGGGACTACACAATCCAGTGTAAACAAGTCGGCCATCTCCCACCGAGGCAGGGTGACCCAAAGAGAAAGAAAATCCCCAAAAAGAAAATACTTTCATCATCATTCAACACTTTCACCCAACTCATCACATAATCACTGTTTTTGCAGAGGTGCTCAGAACACAACAGTTTAGAAGCACATATGTACGTATAAAGATACACAACATATCCCTCCAAACTGCTAATATCCCGAACCCCTCCTTTAGAGTGCAGGCATTGTACTTCCCATTTCCAGGACTCAAGTCCGGCTATATAAAAATAACCGGTTTCCCTGAATCCCTTCATTAAATATTACCCTGCTCACACTCCAACAGATCGTCAGGTCCCAAATACCATTCGTCTCCATTCACTCCTATCAAACATGCTCATGCATGCCTGCTGGAAGTCCAAGCCCCTCGCCCACAAAACCTCCCTTACCCCTCCTTCCAACCTTTTCGAGGACGACCCCTACCCCGCCTTCCTTCTCCTACAGACTTAAATGCTCTCCATGTCATTCTATTCTGATCCATTCTCTCTAAATGATCAAACCACCTCAACAACCCCTCTTCAGCCCTCTGATAATACTTTTATTAACTCCACACCTTCTCCTAATTTCCACACTCCTAATTTTCTGCATAATATTTACACCACACATTACTCTTAGACAGGACATCTCCACTGCCTCCAACCGCCTCCTCGCTGCTGCATTCACAACCCAAGCTTCACACCCATATAAGAGTGTTGGTACTACTATACTTTCATACATTCCCTTCTTTGCCTCCATAGATAACGTTTTTTGACTCCACATATACCTCAACGCACCACTCACCTTTTTTTCCTCATCAATTCTATGATTAACCTCATCCTTCATAAATCCATCCGCTGACACGTCACCTCCCAAGTATCTGAAAACATTCACTTCTTCCATACTCCTCCTCCCTAATTTGATATCCAATTTCTCTTTATCTAAATCATTTGATACCCTTATCACCTTACTCTTTTCTATGTTCACTTTCAACTTTCTACCTTTACACACACTCCCAAACTCATCCACAAACCTTTGCAATTTTTCTTTAGAATCTCCCATAAGCACAGTATCATCAGCAAAAAGCAACTGTGTCAATTCCCATTTTGTATTTGATTCCCCATAATTTAATCCCACCCCTCTCCCGAACACCCTAGCATTTACTTCTTTTACAACCCCATCTATAAATATATTAAACAACCATGGTGACATTACACATCCCTGTCTAAGACCTACTTTTACTGGGAAGTAGTCTCCCTCTCTTCTACACACCCTAACCTGAGCCTCACTATCCTCATAAAAACTCCTTACAGCATTTAGTAACTTACCACCTATTCCATATACACGTACTTGCAACATCTGCCACATTGTTACCCTATCCACTCTATCAATGCCTTTTCTAAATCCATAAATGCAATATGGGAACAAATTCGCTGGGTATTGGCACTCGAACAGCCTTCTGGAACAAATTAAGTTCATAACTCGATGTACCACACTTACTCACACGCACGCATGCATGCACGCACGCACGCACGCACACGCGTACACACACACACACACTTACACAGAAAATACTGAGAGGTATAGACAAGGTGGAAAGAGACAGGATGGTCCAGAGATGGGACACAGCAATGAGGGGTCACAGTTGGAGGCTGAAGACTCAGATGAACCACAGGGATGTTAGGAAGTATTTCTTTAGTCACAGGGTTGTCAGGAAGTTGAATAACCAGAGTAGTGATGTAGTGGAGGCAGAATCCATATATAGCTTTAAGAAGAGGTATAATAAAGCTCACGGAGCGGGAAGTGTGACCAGGTAGCGGCCAGGTGAAGAGGCGGGGCCAGGAGCTGTGAATCGACCCCCACAACCACACCTAGGGGAGTACACACTCTCTCTCTTCTCTCTCTCTCTTCTTTGTGTGTGTGTGTGTGTGTACACACACACACACACACACACACACACACACACATTATCTAATGAAAATGTTCAACCTAATTTAAGTTGAAAAAGGCTTAGTATGTTTAAAAAAAAAACTATCATTTAAATTATTTTATTACTGTACTTGCTATTTTAATATTCTTATAATACACTTTGTATGTGTAACTGGAATCACAAAATCTTGTATTTCTGGGTGAAACTTAAAAACCAGAAATTAATGAAAGCTTAATTAACATAAAATTATCTGCTAGACCAAAGGTGTAGGTAACTGCCCCAACCTGCTTGACTACCTCCTTCTCCTTCATCCCTGAAACATAAAATAATGGGTTTAAAAACTGCAGTTTAAATCAAGCAAATATAGAAAGTATCATTTATCTTACCAGAGCTTACAGGAGGTGCAAGGAGCCAATTTCAACAACTCTGATTTTAACAAGTTCAAAGCTTAAATTGTATTATTAGTAAGAGATATCACATTTGCTAAACAATTTATTACTGCCAAGAAACTTTTTAAGAAATTAACAATGTCTACTGTTCTTAAGACTCATGCCTCTGGGGTCTGTTCCACTCTCCCTGTGGACAACTTTTCATTAAATTATGAATGAAATTATCAAAAACAATAATAAAATGATGGAGACAAGAATAAAATCCTATAACAAACTACCATTTCTTTTTTAACACATCAGCAATCTCCCACCAATGTAGGATGACCCAAAAAAGAAACACTTTCACCATCATTCACATATAATCACAGTTTTTGAAGAGGTGCTCAGATGACAGTTTAGATGTCACTCCAAACAGCCAATATCCCAAACCTCCTGCTTTAAAGTGCAGGCATTGTACTTCCCACATTCAGGACTCAAATCTGGGTAACTGGTTTCCCTGAATCCTCTCACAAAATATTACCCTGCTCACGCTCCAATAGCTCGTCAGTCCCAAGTACCATTCATCTCCATTCACTCCTATCTAACATGCTCACATATGCCTTGCTACATGTCCAAACCCCTTGGATTGTCACAAAACCTCTTTTACCAACTCCCTCCATCCTTTTCTAAGACAACCCCTACCCCTCCTCCCCTCCACTACTGATTTATACACCCTCCAAGTCAACCTACTTTGCTCCAACCTTCGGAAATGACCAAACCACCTCAACAACCTCTCTTCAGCCCTCTGAATAATACTTTTAGTAACTCCACACCTCCTCCTAATTTCCACACTACGAATTCTCTACATAATATACACACCACACATTGCCCTTAGACATGACATCTCCACTGCCTCCAGCCTCCTCCTTGCTGCAGCATTCACAACCCATGCTTCACACCCAAGCAAGTGTTGGTACCACTATACTCTCGTACATTCCCTTCTTAGCCTCCATGGATTACATTTTTTTTTTGTCTCCACAGACATCTCAATGCACCACTCACCTATTTTCCTTCATAAATTCTATGGTAAACCTCTTCCTTCATAAAACCTATCCATTGACAAGTCAACTCCCAAATATCTGAACACATTCACTTCTTCCATACTCACTCACTCCCTCCAATGTGATATAAATTTTTCTTTATCGAATTCATATGATACTCTCATCACCTTACTCTTATCTATGTTCACTTTCAACTTTCTTCCTTTACACACCCTCCTTTTTCATACCATTATATTTTGCCTAGTGACAAGAGGACCAGAGTTGTTAATCACTTAAATATTTATTGTAATACATGTAATGTGTTTTCATAAAAACTACGATATTACACTTCAAAGGGAAAGGGAGAAGGACAAGGAGAAAAGGGGTAGGGAAGAGGGAAGAGAAAGAAAGGAGAGGAAGGAGGGGAGGAAGAGGAGTAGAACTAAAAGAACTAGGAGGAGGAGGAGGAGAAAGGAAGGGCAAGGGAGGAAAAAATGAGGAGGAAGGAGGAAAAGAAATGAGGGGAAGGAGGAGAAGAGGGAGGGACAAGGAAGAGAGGGTGGGAGGTAGGAAGGGGGTGAGGGTTGGTGGAGGTAGTATTGGCTGGCTTTTCATTATTACATCTATCACTTTTGGTTAAATAAAATGTCTTGCCACCTACAATTCATTTTACATTTTATTTCTTTGGATTAGCAGTGTAAATAAACAATGCTTATTTATATCTGTACCACATCACATGCATACAGACATACTGCAGATATACATTGGTGACAAGTGATAATAATGTTGAATGAATTTAAGCACAACTGATCCAAGACAAATATCACTTGCAAAATATATATCATTAATCTTTAATGAATTTGTAGACCTACATTATAAACAGTTTAACATGCAAATGTAGAGCCACTGTATGTTGTAAATTGTGTAAGGATTAAAAGAAAGCAGAAGCTCAGGGATGACACAACTACTGATGTATACATGCTGCTAAGGCAGGTGAAGTTACTTTTTTATTTTGCCATACTGGCCATTTACCACCAAGGCATGGTAACCAAAAGAAGGAAAGGCATTCATCATCATTCGTTTGATTGCTGTCTTGCCAGAAGCTAGTCGACATCACAATTCAAAAACCCTCTGAAATGTGAGACTCCTAGCTATCCTTCAGAATGCAGGCACTATGCTTCCCATCACCAGCACTCAGGTTCATCTACTTCATATATTTTTACATGTGTAGCTTATCAAATGCACTGAATTTTTTGTTAGCTTATACATGTGCTGTAGGCTCAGATTTGTTAGGTATAGATTGGTAAGTATCTTCTTTCAACAAACTGGTCATATCCCACCGAGGCGGGGTGGCCCAAAAAGAAAAACAAAAGTTTCTCTTTTTAAATTTAGTAATGTATACAGGAGATGGGGTTACTAGCCCTTTGTTCCTGGCATTTTAGTCACCTCTTATAACACACATGGCTTACAGAGGAAGAATTCTGTTCCATTTCCCCATGAAGACCTGTCAAGATATATTGACTTATTTAATTTTTCAAGGTGATTTTTTAACTTTATTTTTCTCTGTCTATCAGATGAATTAATATTTAGCATATATGCATGTATGATAGGCTCATATCTGTTTGGTACAGACACTTCAAGAAATGCCAATTTATTATTTAACCCCTTGACTGTTACAACCCCAAATCCTGAGGTGTCTCCTGGTGTTGCAAAATTAAAAATTAAAAAATTCTTATGAAATGATAGAGAATCTTTTCCCGATTGTAATGACACCAAAAGTACGAAATTTGATGGAATTATGCTCTCGCGAAGTTAGTGACCTCGGTGATATTTACGAATCTGCGATTTCACCCACTTTCAACCCTATTTTCGGCTAATTCCATTGTTCCAGTCGACCAAACTCATAGCTATTTCTTTAGAACTCCATTTTTTCTATCGATTGAGTATAAGAAACTGCCCATTTACCAATTTCAACTACCCAATAACGTGGTCAGAAATTTGCTATTTTGCCAATTTCACGAAAATTAAAAAATATGACAATTTCAAAACAGGGTCCAGAATGAATAATGCAGACATTCCTGGCTCTAAAATAACATTTTCTTTGTTCATCAGTCACGTCTCCAGGCCCCTCTGATATTACTCTTGCTTTCTATTTTGGATTTTTATTCAAACAAAAAATAGAAGATTTACTGTTATACAGACTACTGCAATATTGTAATAATTGTATAAATAACATCAACCCATTCATGACTGCATATCAGAATGGCTACTTGGACATTTATTGGAAAATGACATCATCTGTTTACTTTTGAACATTGGCAAAAATCAAACATTTTCACTAATTTGAGCTCCATTTCAAGGTTCTTTTCATAGTAAAACCAATCAAAATCAACTCTATTTCTATAAAATGTTTTCCATTCTATCAAATGAGACCAAGAAAATGAGAATAGAACCATAAATACTATATGAAAATAGACCACAAAGTCGGCATTTTAATTAAAAAAAACGGTCAGTTTTTTCTCATTTAAGTACTGTGTGCTGCAGGATTTTTTTTATATGGTGCACACTGACCACACAGACCCACTCTCTCACATGTGGGCCTACCAGCTTTCTCCTGCTTGATTTGAAGCCGCTAGAATTTATTAGTACGTATATATACGTCAAAAACGGTGGTTCGTAAGACATATATATACGACTAAAACAGTCAAAGGGTTAAAGGTTTCAAGCTAAATTTAAAATCGTTTTCTTCCACATCATTTTTTGGATTAAGGTTAATGATATTTTATCAAATAACCAAAATTATGTTCTTATGAACTAGTTAATTAACCCGTAAACGGTCCAAACGTATACTATATACGTTTTTACTGCTAGTGCCCCAAACGTATATATACGTTTTATGTGTCCTACATTTAACATTGCCACGATAAGCCTGAGTCGCCTAGACATGTGAGAATGGGTGTGAGCACTCACTGTGCACCATATTAAAATAATTGGGGATGCCTGGGTACCATATGCTCTTTTTTCCTATTAAAAACAACAATGTTTTTTTTTTCTCAAAAAAGTTGGGGCAGTACGGTAGTGAATGTATATATACGTTTGGACCGTTTACGGGTTAAAAAAATTTATTTCCTCAACAGAACATTCCCTTGTATATATCATCCTGTGCTCTAATAACCAGTTTTATATTATAGGCCCATATCTCAATGATAGGCATTTGTTTATCTTACCTTAATCCACAAAGATTTGAAAACCTACACCTGTACTAGTTCTTACTTTTTTAAAACAGTTAAAGTACAGTGAAACCTCATTTTTTGTATTCCCCAGTTTTCGTAGGATCCGGTTTTTGATAACTTTTTTTTTATCGAAATTTTGTCCCAGTTTTCGTACATCTGCTCGCTTTTTGTAGAGTTGAAAATGGTCCGTACCAAACGCGTCCGCATGACTTGGCCACTCAAGTGCCCATACAAAGCATCCCATGCGTTTGTGATTCAGATTGCCTTTGTTTCTTGTTGATTGTGCATCACCCCGCACACTCATCCGAATCATTTCGTAATTATCCATTGTTTCTTGTGCTTGTTTACTGAGTGCGACTGCTAAATAAGCCACCATGGGGCCAAAGAAAGTTCCGAGTGCCAGCCCTTTGATAAAGAAGGCGAGAAACACGATAGAATTCAAGAAAGAACTCGTAGAAAAGTAAGAAAGTGGCGTACACATGGCCGATCTCGCCAGGATGTACGGGTAGTCTGCATCAAGGATCAGTTCCATACTGGCGAAGAAAAAAGAAATCAAGGAAGCTGATGTTGTGAAAGGGGTAAATGTGCTAATGAAACAGATCACAAACAATCGAAGATGTTGAGAAGTTGTTGTTGGTGTGGATGTACACAGTGTGGTAAGGCATGGCGAAGCTGCAAGTTCGGACAAACGTGGGGCCGAAGAATTCATTCGTGAATTCAAGGAGTAGTCAGAGGTTGAAAGAGTCCTCCCCCAACAAGTCTTCAATTGTGACAAAACAGGCCTCTTTTGGAAGAAAATGCCAAAGAGGACCTACATCACGCAGGAGGAAAAGGCACTGCCAGGACACAAGCCTATGACGAATAGGCTAACTCTTCTGTTCTCTGGTAATGCTAGTGAGGATTTCAAAGTAAAGCCTTTACTGGTGTATCACTCTGAAAATCCCCGAGTGTTCAAGAAAAACGTCATCAAGAGTAAATTGTGTGATGTGGAAGGCTAACAATAAGCATGGGTCACGAAGCAAATTTTCATTGAGTGGGTCAATTAAGTGTTTGGCCCGAGTGTGAAGAAATACCTCCTGGAAAAACAATTGCCACTCAAGAGCCTCCTATTAATGGACAATGCTCCTGCTCATCCTCCAGACTTGTAAGACCTGTTGTTGGAGGAGTTTAGTTTCATCACAGTGAAGTTCTTGCCCCCTAATACCACTCCTCTCATCCAGCTCATGGACCAGCAGGTCATTTCAAATTTCAAAAAACTCTACACCAAAGCATTGTGTTTTGAAGTGACCTTGGACACTGAACTGACCCTAAGAGAATTCTGGAGGAATCACTTCAATATCGTCAATTGCATGTTTGTCAGGAGTGACTTTCAGGATGATGAACTCTGCTTGGAGAAAATTGTGGCCAGAATGTGTCCAGGAGAAGGATTTTGAAGGGTTTGAGGCTGACCCTGACGACCCTATGCCTATTGCGGAATCTTTTGTGTGTCTGGGGAAGTCCATGGGGTTGGATGTGAGTGGCAAGAATGTGGAAGAGTTGGTGGATGACCACAGGGAAGAGTTAACCACTGAAGAGCTGCAACACCTTCAAGTGGAACAGCAACAGACCGCAACTCAGGAAACTGCTTCAGAGGAGGAGGAAGAGAGAGGGAAGAATGTACCTTCTTCAGTGATTAAGGACGTGTGTGCAAAGTGGAGTGAGTTGCAAAGTTTTGTGGAGAAATATCACCCTAACAAAGCTGTTGCAAGCCATGTCTGCAACATGTTCAATGACAATGCTATGTCCCATTTTAGGCAAATCTTAAAGAGATGCCAGAAACAGACCTCTCTGGACAGAATTTTTGTGTGACAGGGGTACAGTGACTCTTAAGCTGGTCCTAGTGCCGTAAAAGACAAAGAGGGAAGTAACCCCAGATAGGGCCTTGATACCTGAAGTCCTTATGGAAGGGGATTTCCCTTCTAAACAATAACCTCTTATCCTCCCTCTCCCCTTTTTGCCGTCTTCCATATGCCAACAAGTCTTCAATAAAGGTAAAAGTGATGTTAAAAGTTCATCTATCCATTTCATTAGTCATTTATATTTATTTCTCATTGTTTTCTGTATTGAAAACTACAGTTATTCTCTATAAAATGTATTTTTTGTTAATATTTTTGGGTGTCTGGAATGGATTAATTGGATTTACATTATTTCTTATGGGAAATATTGCTTCAGTTTTCGCATGATTCAGGTTTCGTCAGACTTTTTAGAAAGGATTAATCAGGAAAACCGAGGTTCCACTGTATCTGTCTTTCAAAAGATTTACAATTACCTGTTTGAACTTCTAATCTTATGTTCATTGTAATTTTTTCTTAAATTATGTAAAATAATAGTGCTAGTTTTCATAAATAATAAAGCAGTTGGGTTTACTAATTAATGAGAAATAGAGGGGCTTGAAGCCAACTTTATCAAATAAAACACAAACTGCCATCAGCTCACCAAAAGCCAAGAGCTCAAGCTGTGATGTTTCTGAAGGAGAGAGTTGTAGAACAGTCTTCAAAACTGGCACCAAATGCTTCCTTTCTTCACCATTCTTCAGCAATAAAAACTAAAATTTAAATAAGAATGTTAAAAGCAGTGTAACTTGATAAATAAAATAACTAGCTGTTAGGAAACATGTAGAATATGACAAAATACTTTTCATTAAATAAACATTGTTTGTTACAAAAATTTCAGAGAAATTACTAAAATCACTAAAGATATTGGAGTGCAGATTTGCATCTGTGTAAATGATCTGAGGGTAAATGGAGAGACCCTCCATGTGATCTGGAAGTATGTGGATGTGTTTATATTCTTGAATAATGTAGAAATAGATGTGGGCCTGCTAATAAGATATTAACACTGCATAATATGAATGTTTTCACCAGTGGCACAGTAAAATTGTGCATCTTTCTGGTTACTTTGATAAGACAATGCCAGGCATTTTTACTCAAGATCAAAGATATAAAAAGAAAATTACTATTTTCACCACTGTTTACACAAGTTAAATTATCTGGCAAAAGTGCTGCTGCAGAATACTTTTAATGAATGAACTTCTTCAGTCAAATACAGTGGAACCTCAAATATCAAACTTTCTTCGTTCCAGACGGCTGTTCGAGTGCCGTTACCGAACGAATTTATTCCCATCAGGAATAATGTAAATGAGATTAGTTCAATTTCAGACCCTCAAAAATACACTTATAAAAGCACTTAGATAATTGGTTGAGTTGGGAGCAGTTTGATATTTGAGGTTCCACTGTAACATGATTTAACTCAAGCAAATATATAATGGTGATATAGATAGGATTATTTTGGAGAGGTACTGAATGATGTACTCATCTACAGCCATGAGAAACCCATGGCTGTGGTAAAAAAAAATAAAAGGAAACTTAACTGAACTGACTTGTCCTAACAGCAAACATGCACATTTATGAATATTGAAGTTTTCACAAACATGGTCACTCATGTACAAGTCAAATTAAAAAGCCTGCTTTATACCAAATTATTATATTTAATCCTTTCACTGTCGAGATTCCTGCTCACAAACTAGCTCTCAGTGTCGAAAAATTTTCAAAAGAAAAAAAAAAAAATCTCATGAAATGATAGAGAATCTTTTCCCAATATAATGACACCAAAAGCACAAAACTTTGATACAAAACTTATGAAATTACACTCTTGTGAAGTTAGCAGTCTCAGTGATATTTGCACATTGGCGATTTTGCCCACTTTGAATCCTATTTTCGACCAATTCCATTGCTCCAGTTGATCAAACTCATAGCTATTATGCTAGAACTCCATTTGTTCTATCAACTGAGTACAAGAAACTGCTCATTTACTGATTTCAACTACCCAATAAAGTGATCAGAAATTGGTTATTTGGCCAATTTCACACACTTTTCAAGGCCAATTTCAAAATAGGGGCCAGGATAAACAATGCAGACATTCCAAGCACTAAAATAACATTTTTCTCTGTTCATTAGTTATGTCTCCAGGCCCCTCTTATATTAAGCTTGCTCTCCATTTTGAATTTCTATTCACACAAAAAATAGAAGATTTACTGTTATTGAGACTACTGCGTTATTGTAAAAAATGGTATAAATAATATCAGCACATTTGTGAAAGAATATCAGACTCACCAGTTGATGTGTATTGAATGGATGGCATGATTTGTTTACTCTTGAACATCGGTAAAAATCAAACATTTCCACTGCTTTGGGCTCAATTTCAAGATACTTTTAGTCTATAAAACCATTGAAAATCATCTCAATTTCTGTAATATATCTTCCATTCTATCAAATGAGGCCAAGAAAATGAGAATACGACCATAAATACCATATGAAAATACACCGCAAAGTCAGTGTTTTAAACCAAAAACGTGGTAGGAGTTTTTTTTTTCTCATTATGCACTGCATGCTGCAGGATTTTTTTTTATACTGCGCACACTGACCACTAAGACCCATTCTCTCATATGTAGGTCTACCAGCTTTCTCCCTCTATATTTGAAGCTGCTAGAATTTTGGCTTAGTACTACGGCACCAACACTGGCTTGTACACCGTAGTACTACGGCACCAACAGTGAAAGGGTTAATGGTTTAATAAACACTCTGTGCATGATACCAAGGTGCACTGTAGTAAAAGTCAGGATCCCTAAAGTTTACACATTTGCTATCACTTTATAAATATTCAGCTACCCTCCTGCTGAAAAAAACAGTTTCATCCATCTCATGAATCAAGATTTTTAAAATAAAATATAAGAGACCATCAAATAAAAAAAGATGAGTATGAAAACATTTCAGAAAGAGCTTGCCACTAAAAAGGCACTATATCACACTGCAAAAATCAGAATGTTGTTAATACTCCTCCTGTGGAAGATGTTTGGGACAAAGTATGTTAATGGAGGATGAATGAATGTCCTGATTTTGTAGTGTTCAGATGTAAATAAGAGAAGGCAGAAATGGTTAAATTAATGAGGAATGTAAAATGATTTATGATGCTACTAAACAACAAAATTGAGGAATGTGCCAAGCTGAACGATGTTCCTGCTTATCAAACAAATACTGATGTATATAATATGTACAATAGTCATTAACCCATACACTGGGGAAAGTGGTAACATGAATTTGGAGTGATGTGAAATAAGTTAATGAAAACACTTATTACACTGGCAAAAGTGTACAATACATAAAATTTAGATGAAACCTTTTATACAGTACCTGTATTACTTAGCAGCAAATTTTGCAGATCTAACAGGTAGAATCTGTTAGAATTAAAAACAGCACTAATTTAGTTGTCAAAAACCCTATGGTTGTTCAATCTTTAGTAGATGCTGATGAGTCAGAATTGGAAGATTTAGCTAGCAATGTATCAAGTGTTGAGCTTCATAACTGTACTGGATCCAGTGCATGAAGAATCCATATTCATTCTAGGACATGCCGCTTCTTCAAACCCAAATAATAATTATGTCACACTACACATACATGTACACATTTAAGTATACACACTCATCCGAGTTTTCTTTGATTTTATCTTAATAGTTCTTGTTCTTATTGCTTTACCTTTTATATCCAAGGGGAAGTAGAATAAGAATCTTTCCTCCGTAAGCCATGCGTGTTGTAAAAGCCAATTAAAATGCCGGGAACAATGGGCTAGTAACCCCTTTTCCTGTACAGCCTATTAAAAAGAAAAAGAAGAAAACCGTCAAAGTGGGATGTTTGAATGTGCGTGGATGTTGTGCGAATGATAAGAAAGAGATGATTGTGGATGCTATGACTGAGAAGAAGCTGGATGTCCTGGCTTTAAGTGAAAAAAAGCTGAAAGGGATGAGGGAGTTTCAGTGGGGAGAAGTAAATGGAATTAGGTCAGAAGTTTCAAATAGAGTTAGAGCTAAAGAAGGAGTAGCAATAATGTTGAAGGATAAGTTATGGTAGGGAAAATAAATGTATAAATTCAAGGATTATGTGGAGTAAAATAAGGGTTGGATGTGAAAAGTGGGTTGTAGTAAGCATTTATGCACCTGGAGAAGAGAGAAGTGTTGAGTGAGTGCATGGGGAGTTTTGAACCAAGTGTGAGAGTACTTGTGGTTGGGGATCTCAATGCTAAAGTGGGTAAAAATGTTGTGGAGAGAGTAGTAGATAAATTTGGGGTGCCAGGGGTAAATGAAAATGAGGAGCTTTGAATTGAGCTAGCTATGTGTAGAAAAAGGCTGCAAGTACTATATGGAATAGATAATAAGTTACTAAAAGCTGTAAAGAGTTTTTATGAGGATAGTGAGGCTCAGGTTAGGGTGTGCAGAAGAGAGGGAGATTACTTCCCAGTAAGAGTAGGTTTTAGACAGGGATGTTTAATGTCACCATGGTTGTTTAATATATTTATAGATGGGGTTGTAAAAGAAGTAAATGCTAGGATGTTGGGGAGAGGGGTGGGGTTAAATTATGGGGAATCAAATACAAAATGGGAGTTGACAAAGTTAGTGTTTGCTGATGACAGTGTGCTTATGGGAGAGACTAAAGAAAAGTTGCAAAGGTTAGTGGACAAGTTTGGGAGGGTGTGTAAAGGTAGAAAACTGAAAGTGAACATAGATAAGAGTAAGGTGATGAGAGTATCAAATGATTTAGATAAAGAAAAATTGGATGTCACTTTGGAGAGAGGGAGTATGGAAGAAGTGAATGTTTTCAGATATTTGGGAGTTGACGTGTCGGCGGATGGGTTTATGAAGGATGAGGTTAACCATAGAACTGATGAAGGAAAAAAGGTGAGTCGTGCATTGAGGCATATGTGGAGACATATGGAGGCAAAGAAGGTAATGTATGAAAGCATACTGGTACCAACTCTCTTCTATGGGTGTGAAGCTTGGGTTGTAAATGCTGCAGCGAGGAGGCGGTTGGAGACAGTGGCGATGTCCTGTCTAAGGGCAATGTGAGGTGTAAATATTATGCAGAAAATTCGGAGTGTGGAAATTAGGAGAAGGTGTGGAGTTAATAAAAGTATGAGTCAGAGGGTTGAAGAGGGGTTGTTGAGGTGGTTTGGTTATTTAGAGAGAATGGATCAAAGTAGAATGACATGGAGAGTGTGTAAATCTGTAGGGGAGGGAAGGTGGGTAGTGGTCGTCCTCGAAAAGGTTGGAAGGAGGGAGTAAAGGAGGTTTTGTGGGCAAGGGGCTTGGACTTCCAGCAGGCGTGCGTGAGCGTGTTAGATAGGAGTGAATGGAGACGAATGGTTTTTGGCACCTGACAAGCCGTTGGAGTGTGAGCAGGGTAATATTTAGTGAAGGGATTCGGGGAAACCGGTTATTTTCATATAGCCGGACCTGAGTACTGGAAATGGGAAGTACAATGCCTGCACTTTAAAGGAAGGGTTTGGGATATTGGCAGTTTGGAGGGATATGTTTATATCTTTATTTATTATATTTTTATATTATCACACTGGCCGATTCCCACCAAGGCAGGGTGGCCTGAAAAAGAAAAACTTTCACCATCATTCACTCCATCACTGTCTTGCCAGAAGGGTGCTTTACACTACAGTTTTTAAACTGCAACATTAACACCCCTCCTTCAGAGTGCAGGCACTGTA